CACGCCTCCAAAAAGCTGAGTGTAATTCATTTTGTCAGTCACTGCACTCACAATTCTCAGTGATACAGAGAATTTCTTCATACTGCTCACTCTCACATTGAAGCACATTGTGTACATGTTTCTTTTCCCTTTGTTTCCGGCTTGCATTACACTTTACTGGGAAATGGTTCTCTTTGCCGCACTTTTTGCACTTCATACCATATGCCGGGCATTTCTGTTTATTTTTTGCATGCCATTTCCTGCAAAACGTGCAGTTCACTGTATTGCTAGATTGTTCCTGGCACACTGTGCCTTTAACTGCATGCACCTCCTCCATCATCGGTCTGGATATGGCTTTAATGTTTTCCCGCAACACCTCAGCCGCTCTGCACAGATGTACGCATGTGTCCAGCGTTATATTCTTCTTGCAGAGCAATGTCTCTCTCATGGCTGTATTGTTGCTCCCACACACAATCCGTCCTCGGATGAGCGAGTCCCTTAATGTACCGAAGTTGCATCTTTTGGTTAACGATTTTAGTTCTGTAACGTTGTGGAAAGGAAATTGGACATTGGTAGGCCCAGGAGGGGAGGCATAGTGGGTCTGTTATGTCTTAGGCCTTAGGCAAGAAGAGATTGTTCTGAATTCTGTGTGTACTCGCTTCATGATAGTTGCCTGCGGTTGGTTCCACAGACCCTGAAGAGAGATCTGACCTTGGTTGCTCAAATGAGGTAATCAATTTTAATTAAACGCTGGCACATACACGCACACTACTAACATACAGCCGATCTCTCTCCCTCTAAATGGAATAACAACAGATATCAAACAAAAGTTCCTATTGTTACACCTACAGCGCAAATATTAAGTATTACTGGAGGAAATAGCTCCGATGTCATTAGCTACTTTTTCCTCTGTAGATTATAGTGTAACTAACTACTATATTAAAACAGTGGCTTGACTGTAGCTTAGCTACTTTTAATCATAAGTAGTTGTAGCTTGAAAAGCTACCCTTTAAAAGTAACTTCATCAACACCAATCACCAAAGTTTATTGCTAAAAGCCCCACTGCAATAGCCCAAAGATATATTGCCTTACACCGAAGAGAGTCATATTTTGAACACCGCTGCATCAGTAAAATTTGTGTAAATTTCTTTTTTGATGTCTTCTAAATAAAGCTTAAAACTTCGTATTCTGGCTCTGCTGGAGAGTGGTTGAGTTCAGAAGATCCTACACAAGCAACTTTCAGAGCTGTATCCAAACCTGTTTCTTTCACAGGGTCTTTAAAATACTTGATTGAATTAGATTTTTTTGTTAAAAGTATTATTTAAAACCCTTTAAAAAAATCATACAATGAAATTCTAAATACAAAAAGGGATTTCTGAATCTCTGAATCTAAACAGGTACGATACCCTTTTGATCTCCATGGAAGTCGCTCTGCTGCAGCCGCCCACAGGAAGGCTGCACCCATCATGAAGGGGATGGGGGAAAGGCTTCAGGAGCCTCCTTCCTGGAAGAGTCAAAACCGTCGGAGAGATAATAGGGTCAAGCCTGTTGGGGATCGGGGCTGGTCTGGTGCTGAGGCGTCGCCTGTTGCATGGTGGCACTTGGGTCCCAGTTTGAGGTGGCCAATACAGATAGGGGCATGGAACGTCTTATCTCTCTGGCAAGATGACCATCTTCCTCTGCTGTAAGGGGAGCCTCATAAACTCCACATTTCGGTGGTGGCACTCTCTGAGGTACGCAGACTGGGGAGTGGCCAGTTCTCTGTAGGTGAGTATATCGACTTTTGGTTTGGTCACTCTGATGGCTGCCATACTCAGCGAGTAGCTGTTGCTGTGGTGAATCGGCTCCACCCAATGGTGTCTGATGTCACTCCTTTCAACAAGCGTATTATGAGACTCAGGCTAAGACACTCCTTCAGTGTCTCTCTTGTCTCAGTGTATGCTCCAATCACAGTGAATGATGTCTTGTTGAGGGAGACACCATGTCCCTGTGAGCTTTGAGGGCTCTGAGGGTAGATAAGGAGGCGTTTGTTAGACGAATGTGTGAGCAGGTGACACACCATCTGTGGTCTAGTGACCCACGTCCTGCTTACAGAAGAATCACAGCATTATGCATGTCTGAATCTGTTCCTCAGAGACTTGCAGTCAGGGTGGGTGATGGAACGGTCCTTAAGGATGAGCTGCTTTGAGCAGTTGTTTAAACCTGACCCTCTAGCTAGGACGTTGGACATCTTTGGGTCCATGGATCTCGAGGCTGATCCTCCAATCACTTGTGAGCTGCCCATTCTGACTGAGATTGCACGGGTGTTGAATCAGCTGGGGGTGGGGAAGGTTGCAGGGATCTGTCGTATCCGGGCTGAACTTCTTCAGGTGGGTGGTAAGGCTGTTCTCCTGGTATTACAGGAAAACTTTCTTCCATTTGGGAGTCATGCGTCATCCCAACTGATTGGAAAACAGGACTTGTAGTCCCTATCTGGAAAGGGAAGGGTGATTGCCTGGATTGTGGCATCTATAGGGGGATAACACTGCTCTCAGTCCCGGGTTAGGTCCTTGCTAGGGTCATCCTTAATAGGATCCGTGATCACTTGCTCGCTTGTCAGCGACCGGAGTAGTCTGGTTTTATGCCTAAGAAGTCTACCATCGACCGCATCCTGGCACTGAGGGTTCTCATTGATTTTCATAAAGTGTTTAACTCAGTTGATCGAGTTGCCCTGTGGAACATCCTGAGACTTTGCTGGATCCCCCCGAAGTTGCTGGACGTCATGGCCGGCCTACACACTGGTACTGTGACTGCTGTGCAGAGTGGAGGGAGAACCTCCGCGTTCTTCCCAGTTGGTTATGGGGTTCGCCAGGGGTGAATTTTTGGTCCTACTCTGTTCAATGCTTGTATGGACCGGGTGTTGGGCAGGGTTGTGGGGTCCAGCAGTTGTGGGGCATCCGTTGGTGAAAAAAGATTTACTGATCTTGACTTTGCAGACGATGCTGTGATCTTGGTGGAGTCAATGGAGGCTTTGATCAGGGCTCTCGAGAGACTGAGAGAGGTGTCTGGGATTGTGGGTGTCCTAGATAAAGACCAAGATCCAGGTTCTTAATAACTTCTTAGGCACGGCCATCAGTAGTGTGTCTGTCTGCCGGGACAATGTTGACTTTGTCAAGAGATTTACTTACCTTGGGCATTCATGTCTTTGGTGACTCTTCCTTATGAAGTCTGCAGATGGATTGGGAGAGCATGGGGGGTCATGAGGTCACTGGAAAGGGGTGTGTGGCATTCCTGATATCTTTGCAAGAGGATGAAGGTCCAAGTCTTTAGAGTCCTGGTGCTCTCCAGTGAGCTGAGATGAAGACTGGACTCCTTCAGTACTGTGTCTCTTTGGAGAATTCTTGGATACCACTGGTTTGACTTTGTGTTGAATGAGTGGTTGCCAGTGGAGTCCCGAATGAGGAAAATGATCTGCATTGTGAGGGAGTGTCAGTTACGGCACTACGGCCATGTGGCCCTGAGGGCGATCCGGCTTGCAGGATCCTCATTGCTGGGGACCTGAGCAGCTGGACCAGGCCAAGGGGACACCCCCATAACACCTGGCTGCAGCAAATGGATGTCCATTTCTGGAGTTTGGGACTGGAGCATGTGTCTGCCTGGGGGGTTGCCAGCCGGGATCCCGAGGAGTTTCGCCATGTGGTGGGTGCGGCAACGCGCTGGATCAGCACATGCTCCCCAACCTGACCTGACCTGACCTGAGTTGACGATATTGACAGTGTCACCCAAATTATTTTGCAGAATTTTCTGCTTTCTTTTCAAATCACCTATAATTCTGTGAAGGAATCCATAATCAGAAAGACACAGTAACCTAATTATACTGATCTGTTTGCTGCTTTTGGTCTTTTGAAATATGGCAGGTTCAATAACTACTTCAGTTTTAAAAACATACCAAAGCCCGGCCACCATTTATTACTGAAAAAAATACATTTAGTATAAAAAAATATGCAATAGGCTTTCATCTACCCTTTTCCATGTTTCTCTTATATGCTAATTATTTGCCTAAGGAATGCTGAATGTCTTTCTAATAATCATATTTCAGATGATCATAATTCAGCTGCATCATCAGATGACGTACTTGCCAGGGAGGTGCGCTCTGCGGTCACTCGTAAGGACAGTATGCCCTTTTTAAAATAGCACCTTGTCCTTCCAAATGTGTCATCTCATACCCCTTTATTGATTTGTGGTTTCTTCTGCTTCTCTGGAAGCCTGATCTGGGTGCCTTTTTCTTATAATCACTTACATTTACGTTGCAGTTTTTTTTTACGTTTTTAATGTTTTTTAAAAAGCAGGGTCTGTCAGTCCCGGGTGAAACTGGAAACTGGGGGTTAATGAATCAAGGGCGGCAGGGCCCAACACTGAAATCGCTCTGGACTTGAACTGATGTGCAAACCAGCAGAGCTACACTCCCACATATATAATGTGTGTGTATATATATATATATATATATTATATTATATATATATAATATAATTTTATAACTACATTTTATATGTAAGATAAAACACATATTATCCTCTGAAGATATATTTGTTGCTTGAGTTCAATGTGACATCATTTTTATCAGGGCTAAAGTATTTTATTATATATATATATTTGTATATTTTTGGTACAATATCTGGATGCTATACAAAGACAGTAATTGACTAAATCCAGTGAACAAAGGTGGTTCCTTAACTGCCCTGTGAGAGTTCTTGGTGTACAGCCTCACCAAAAATAAACACTGTGTAAGGCTTCCCTGTCTCTCTCATGTGTAGGAATTTAGGTTTTGCGCTGTATGAATTGAAAGCTCAGGCCCCCTTTTTTAGCCAGGGACAGAGATCAAGTGTATTATCTTTCATGAAAATTCCTTTTCTGCCTTTAATGGTTTCCTGAGGTGTTAATGTAGCAGGGATGTTTGGATAGTTCATGCAAAGTCAGAATGTGATGTCACTTTTCGCCTGACCCCCGGAATGCCTTTCAGTTCCGTAGATGTGCATGTCTGCATCTGAAAATAGCTCAAACCACACTAATACTCCAGCAAGAGCCCTACTTTCCATCTTGCCTTTTGCCTCCTGAAAGTGGAATCAGACTTGGATTAAACCTCGAGAGGAACCCCAAAGCATGTAAAGGAAAAAGGGGGAATGTTCGGGTTTTAGGAACAAATGCTGCTTTCTTCAAATACGTGGGGCTTGAGAGACACTTCATGGCTGGTAAGACTGTTTTCTTCTGCCGCCTCAGTATGGTACTGCGTGACTGTCTGGCATGTACTTTGATCCAGCACTGAAAGTCAGCATTCCAAGAGGCGAATTTGAGGCTTGTGGCTAAAAACTGAAAAACAAGAAATCAGTTGAACCTGAGATAGTAATAGTGATATACTGCATCCCTCATCTAATCATTTACTGAACTTGATTATATCTGTTCATATAATTTTAGTAGTTTGCTGAAAGCTTTTTATATCACATAGATTCAGCTATGTGAGATTCATTTATTTATTTTTGGTGTTACCTAAAATATTTCATGTGCTGTGATTTCTGTAATCTGAGTAAGACATCCATCAAGACTGTTCTTTTAATGAAAAACAACCTTTAAAAAAACCTTTCACTTTTCATGAGTGTCTTGAAGGTTGACCTTCGAATCAGAATACAAGCATCACACAATCTCAAAATGTCAACAAAGCAAAGACACACACACACACACACAGAGGTTTGTAATTATATCTTTGTGGGGACTCTCCATTCATTTATATGGGGAAAACTCCCAACATGACAACCTTAACCCCTACCCAGCCTTAACCTTACCCGTAAGTAACCAGACAAAATACAAGAATTTTGGCATTATTAGTTTTTTGATAGCATTCACAGATCTTTGTGGGGACCTGAAAAAATGGTCCCCACAACGTCAAAATAAGTTTTTATTACATTGTGGGGGACATTTGGTCCCCATAATGTGATATAAACATAATCCACACACGCACACACACACGCACACACACACACACACACACACACACACAATCTTATGCATATATTTAGTTGGTGTATAAATGGCACTTATATTTACACTGGTATTTAATATTGGCAAGCAGTCATTACCACTATGCCCAAAGACTGCGAAAACATGTTGACAGGTAATTAATTTTTTCGCCCATATTTTCTAAGATGTGACAATAAGTCTATTTCCCCCCCAGTCAAAGGGAGATACCTGAGGTAACGTGTCCAGCTATTTCTTGGTTTCTATAATTTGGGGGAGGGAGCTTCTTACAGTTATATTAAAGTGCGTAAATACTTCTTCACTGACAAAGCTGCTATGTGTAAAGCATGTGTTGAAGTGGAAAACTTGTCAGGGGCTATGCAGATGGTGACAGGGCTTACAGCGGTCCATAAAGAACCACAGCACTAACCGTCTGTCACTTCGGAGCTGCTACACAGGTTACCGTGAGCGATCGCACCATGAGAGTCCTTCTGAGGGCACATCAGGCTAAAGCATGCCTTGTGAAAGCATCACTATGGTGCAGTCACTTTGAAAATATTTATTGTATGTCATAACGGTTGTAATTTTACACATGGATGTTATGCCTGTTACATCAAATATATCCACAACCCTAACTAATTACTGAAGGTTCCATTCGACAGTGTGTTTGGTGGAGTGTCAGAAGATTTCAAGTTCACCCAGAAACTGATTTTTATTTTTACAGTTCTGTTCCTCACCGATTGGCACTGGAAAAATTAAGCAAATCAATATAATTTGGCCAAAACTGGCACCTTCTCTATGTGGATTTCTACTGTACACAGCTATTGGATTTGTGGTAAAAGTTTGAAGACTGGCACTGTTTCTGATCAACCAGTCACAGAATAAGAATGAACAAATCAATCAATTAGAAAGTGAGAAATAAATCGATTAATCACATGGATACAAAGCAATGTTACCAATTTAATACAAAGAAGCAGCTCATTAATACCCTGAGCATTTTACATCTATGACCCACCCTTGCAGTCATGCAGGCTTGGTGCTAAAATCAAAGAGCTTGAGAAGGCGCTTATCCCATTCATGTGGGGGTGTAGCAAAAGTGTTCATGGGACCTGAAAAAGGTGGCCTTTGTAAGACCTGCACTACCTCACTGTTTCAGTACCCTAACCCAACTGTGACGCAGAATAATAAAATAACCACTGTGGTGCTTTCATTCTGCCATATCTGAAACAAGCTGTGACTCCTTCTTTTCTTGCTGTAACCTAAACAGTTACTTGAGTCATTTTGCTTTAAAAAAAACTGTGACGCACATCACTCTGCTGCATCTTAAATAAATGGTGGCTCAGTTCAGTGTGCTCTCTCCTAAACCACGGCTGCTCTTCCTTTCTGCAACCAAGTCACTGCATTGTTTGTTGTGCTGGAACCCACTGCAACACCATATTTTACACACTGCACTTGTTTGTCAGTAAAGCAGAGCAGTAAATCATGACGGCTGATGTAGACAAGCTCAGCTGTCTAGAAATGCACTGGACTGCAGCTGAAATTTCTGCTGGAATTTTACTAATAAATTCCTCTGGGGTTTCTCTTCTAGGGTTTCTGAGCACACTAAGCATTTCCACAAGCTCAGCAATAAAGATGGACGAGAGAAGAACCACTAATACCAATAATAATAATCCCACATCAAACAGCACCCTTCTGTCTCAGCAGTGCATGATGGGGAGGGGAGGGGGGGGGCTGGCCAAATGACTAATGAAACTCATAACAACAGGTGTAATTATTCTGACAAGATAGACAGGAAATCGACTTATCAATTAATTTTGAGAGTCACTGAGCTTTGTGGGCATTGACGTAGCAAGCCAGCGGCATCCTGTGTTTTATTAGAAGTTGGCAGCTAAATTTTTGAAAACATAACATTCGAAAATCATCTAGGATCTTATAAATAATCAGCTTATCTGTCACCAACCATTAGTGTCAACGAAGAGTTAAATAACTAAATAAATGCCCCCTTATGCCTTTTTAGCCATTCAGTCTACTTTCCATGGAGAGACTGGGGGCTTTGATAGGAAAGTACAGGACCCAGGTCTCAGACTCCCTTGATGGAATGTCAGGCCATCGAAAGGCATTTACTCACACACACAATCAGCTACAATACTCTACCAGTCCATTACAGGATATTCACTCACGCACACAATCAGGTACAATACTCTACGAGTCCATCGTAGGATATTCACTCACACACCACAATCAAGCAATATGGAGTGTTTTGAAACACCTGAATGTGTTTGGATTGAGCCAGGATACCCATGCGAATGTGGAGATATTGTCACAAGTACCCTGACATGCAGGGCCGTGGGGGGAATTTAGACCCCAAAAATGTAAGGCTTCAGTGAGTCAAATGACAGATTTTAAAAGGCCAAGGTTCCTGTGTCTACAGGGCCTTGATTACACTCCTCATCTGCCCTACTGTCCTGTCACCACAGCTCAGCTGCCGTGAAACACGATAGCATAATTTCACCCACATTTATTGTTGACAGCTTATTATGACTTGTGATGTACTGGCATGTGAATGTAACCAAGAATGAGAGGATTATGTGTTTTGTACATTTATAAGGAGTGATGCCTGAAGATTTATTAGTCTGAGTTATATTAACTCTGTACTGTGCTAGTGGTTTGGCATAAAGAAAAGGAATAAATCACATTTCTTATATACATTGCTGGCATTGTCAAGAAATATACTAGTTCGAACAAAGCTTGTTTGGATTTAAATGCCATTCATATTTTTTCCCCATTTTCTGCATTAACCTGTAATATACTGCCCCTTGTAACAATACAAGGTTTTAAAGGAGGATTACTGCTTATATTTCAGAAACTGGTTGATGATTTGCATGTAGCTGGCAATGCTGACTTACCTGCCAAATGCAGTAATGAACTGTGTTATTTTGATAATTAACAACAGTAAACAGATAGTGTAAAGAGTAACTAATAATGGAACAGTTATATTACAACAAATGAGTTAATTAGGAATTAATGTTTCCCAGCCAAAATGGAAATTAAATTACTATATGTTCTATATAGAAATACAAAAATTAACATCAGTTTCTCAGTGTTTGTATATTTTCATATTTTATATAAGAACTGTGTAAGACATTGTATCTCTTCACTAACTGCCTAGCTATCCTCAATTGGATTAGACCAGTGGTACTCAACCCGGTCCTTTGGGATCCCCCAGACTGTCCATGTTTTTGCTCTCTCCCAGCTCACTGCAAGACAAACCACATTTTTGCTTCCAGCTGGGAGGGAGCAAAAACTTGGACCGTCCTTGGGGTCCCAAAGGACCAGGTTGACCAAACACTGGATTGGACCCTCTTCACCTTGCCAAGGTATGGCTTCAGGCATAGCTAGATTCACTGTATTATAGAAAATCAGCAAATAACTCTTAGGTACAAGGTTGGAGAATCACCATCCACACTCACACAATCTCACACCACGGGCAACTTAGAGAAACCAGTTCACCTAAATGTACAATATTGTGCAAAAGTTTTAGATAGTCAATGAAAATTGTGTTTAAATTATGTTAATATTGGTGTAAAACATACATTATGTCTGTCAAACTGTATCAGCTTAGCAATTTCAAAACCACTCCTAATGTCACCCCAGTATTGCAGTAATCATCCAATGTTTTTTTTGGATGGACCACTTACCCCTCCTTGTTTGGCTAATCAATATCTCAGCGAGTTATTTAACTAATTGAGTTAATTAATTATTTGAACTGGTTGTGTAATTTAATAAATACATGTAATGTCTGAGGTGCCCCTGGGGAGAGGTTTGGGAACTGAAGCCGCGTTCATCTAGCCATCCAGAATATCAGTCACTTTTTGGAGAACAGAAGAAATTATTGTTAATTTTTATTATTGTTATGGTTAACTTGCCTATCTTCAAATATTAAATTATCTTTTTTCTGAGCAAATATACACATACAACCCAGATAAATAGCCTTCAACATTTTCTTTGGCTGCCTAAGACTTTTGCACAGTGCTGTATGTTTTCGGACTGTGGGGGGTGGAGTCCTGCACAAGATGGGGAGTACGTGCAATGTCCAGACACCCAGACGCTCATCAATCATCTTTGCATCCACCTTCTGTCCGCTTATCCTAGTCAGGGTTGTAGGGGGGGCCTGGAGAATGACTTAAAAACAATGTAATGTAATTAAATATCAGTAAATAATTCTACACATACTATTGTTTAAAAAAGCTTAATGACTATGCTGAAATCCTGTAGTTAAAAGTATGTGGACACCCATATTAATTAGCGGAATTGGTATCTGCATACCTTTGGCCATACAGTGCACATGTATAAACTGTACTTGCTTGAAACTGCAGAGTGCAGGCAACGTGTCAGCTGTTTGCACATTAACATTGTTATCATTCTCTGCCCAGTCATTATGAACACTGATGAAAGATGCTCACCCACTCCAGAATACATGTCCTTGGGTTTGCCCACCCACCAGAATTAATTTTGCAGTAACAGACAGTATTTCTTTGTTTTGAGTTGTGAGTTCTTGGTGGGCCAACATCATATGTTACATGTCAGTTGGGCTCCTAATTTCCAGTCCACAAATTTAATGCAAGACCTGAGTCATTCCATTATACTGTAAAAGCACTATGATCGCTGCATGTTCAACACCTTGGTTGTTTGTGTGGAGTTTGATTGTTCTCTCCATGTGTATGTGAGCTTCAGATTCCTTCAGCAGATTAATGAGATTATGTGAACTGATATCCGTAAATTGCCCATTGTGTCTGTGTGCATTGTAACAGCTAAGCCGCTGCATCATGTCTTATTACGCATCCTTAAAAGAGCTATTCTTCACATTAAGATATATTACTGCGGTGAGAGATGTGGCAGGGCCTTGATGTTTCAAGGGAAGGCCGAGGTCTTGCTGTGTGAGTGTGTAAGGGAGACTGGAAGCATGGTTAAGTGAGCAAATTTGTATCTTGTTGACCCACCATTTCATAAGACACCTTCCTTCCTCCAAAATTCCATTTATCTGTCTGCTGTTAAGAAGAACCAAGTTTTTCCAAAGACTGCTAAACACAACCAGTCAATGAAAGGGTTGAAGCTGCTACAAATATTGTATCAAATCACTTCTCCCATACTAATGAATGTCCTTAAAACTGCTTAATGCTGTCACTCAATAATTACAACAGGGATGGGAGAAGTTGTACACAGCAGGTAGTGTTTGAATTACTTTCCTGATTAAAAAATGTTTACAAGGCTAGCAGATATTTTTTTCTTTCATAAATTTAACAATGTGTACATATTGATTTACCCCCCATTCAGGATGCATCAGGGTATGTGTTAGGATCCGTGTCGGGCGAGCAAGCAGGAAGCGGGGAATCGAGCCGACTGAGATCCAGAATACGGGTTTTTTAATAGGAAAAGAATGAAATACACAGACCACACGGTACAAACGTCAATGACGGACCTGGGGAAACAGACTTGAACGCGGACTAATATACACAGGACAAACCGAAGATAACAGGCAACAGGTGATTACAATCTCCTTGGCTGTGGCTCAGCGGCACGCCTGTGATCGTATGGTCATAGCCTCAGATTGCGTTTTCCTTGGCTGTGGCTCAGCGGCACGCCTGTGATCGGATGGACATAGGTTCAGTTTGCGTTCTCCTTGGCTGTGGCTGGTTGCCGCACTCATTGCCAGTCGCAGCACCTTCCATACCTACAGGATTTGGAGTCGCTGGCAGGTCCAGATATTTAGCTTGCTAGATATCTGACGGGCATCTGTGACACATCGGTGACTCCGTCGGGTCACGTTGTGAACATGTTGTCACCCCCCATGATCCTGGACAGGGTGAACATTTTCAGAAAATGAATATATATATATGATGAAATATATGTATATATATATATATATATATATATATATATATATATATACACATGCACACACATATACTGTATGTGTGTGTGTATTTTTTCATTATTTGAGCCTGAGGAACAATTCAAAGGGTTTAAATCAGTGTTTCTCAACCCAGTCCTCAGCGAACCCCAGCCAGTCCACGCACCTGTACCAGCTATTCGGTGTTCCTGATTGGCTGGGAGCTGGGAGGGAGCAAAAACGTGGACTGGCTGGGGTTCGCTGAGGACTGGGTTGAGAAACACTGGTTTAAATGCAGATGGTGTGCTCATTGACAGAGACACACACAGAAGGTAGGCAGAGAACACAGGGTGCTGCCCTTTGATTTACCTGGCTTAGCAGTGCAATGCATCATATGTTGTGCTTCTCTGTTTTAACTTTTAAAGCACGCTGTCTGTTTTCAGGTGTTCCAGTAAATCATCATTACTTGATTATTTCATTGTAGTGTTTGTTCATTAATGTGCATTGTCTCAAATAAAAAAATTAAAAAATAAAAAATAAATCTACTGTGACTGAGAAGCACTTTGCAAGTTATGGGAAATGCTAAAGTGCTAAAGACATTGAATGTTTTTTAAATAATAATAATTATTAGGGGCTGTCAAAATTTACGGGTTAACGCGGATTAATCCATCATCATGATTAATCTGATATTTTTTTTTTAACACAATTAACCCATCTGCAGCGCAGAATGACTCAAAATCCCTGAAATGTCTCTGGCAACCCATTTCGGGCAGTTTTGGTGCGTTCCATTTGCCCTGGGAAGTGGGAACTCGTATTCCGAGTCGGATTCCGGAGTTTTGAAGCCGGAAGTGACGATACGCGCGCTCCCGTTTCTCGGACATCCGAGAAATATCTCGGAGCAGCACAGGGGATCCCCAGTTTAGAATCCAAGGTGGCTGCGTCTTTTATCAATAGAAGGGAAAGTTGTAGTTTTATACTGTTTAAGCACTACTTCTCATTTGTGGCTCATTAAATCGGTCGCACACACTGTACCATCCAGCTTATTTGTGGACGTGTTGCTACGGAGTTTTATACGTAAAGCACCGCACGTAATGTGTTATCAACTGATATTGATAACAATGGCAATTAACCGGGCTAGAATTGGATTTCATGCTTAGTCGGATTATTTGTCAATTTTACGGTAGTTCGGGCTAATTGTAAGTGAACGAAGATAAACACCATGGGTGAGTTTCCCGAAGCGTTCTTAACGCTACGTCGTTCTTAAGTTGTGTGTTAAAAGATAGAACTAACGAACGACGTAGCGTTAAGAAGGCTTTGGGAAACTCACCCCATTTAAACTGAGGTACCTTAAATACGATAAGTTGTCCGGCTAAGCAAAAAATCTTGCTTTTTGATATGGGTCCATGGTATTGCACTTCTGTGGCAGATGGAATGCATCTGACTCGTGTTCAAGATGTTCAATAAACATGTTGAGTGTATATATATTCCCTTTTTTCTTGAGTCTGTTTGCTCATGCAAAATGAAATGCGATTAATATGGATTAAAAATGAATGATATTTAATCGTGATTAATCGAAATTAGTCCACAGTAACCATGTGATTAATCTGATAAAAAAATTCATAGTTTGGCAGCACTAATTATTATTATTATTATTATTATTATTATTATTATTGTTGTTGTTGTTGTTGTATAGGTACTGGATCTTACTCATCAGACATAGATGTGCTTTATGGGCATTTCCTAAATTGGAATCCAGCCCAGATGGTAAAATGACTCCAATTCCGATTTTCATTTCTGCGAAATTCTGTGCAGATGTGTGGAAGCCCCACAGCTTTAGTGACGGGCGACCGAACGGGGAGAGAAACAGCTGCTCACTTCCTGTTGGAGGCCCCCAAAGCGTCAGTCCCCGCCTTCCAGACCGGAGGTCTCCAGCCCTGGTTGGTCCATGCATTCTGAATTTATTTGGTAGCTATCGTAAATTACACTAAATAGTGTCTAAAGAATAATATTTAAGTTACCCACTGATTAGCTTGGATTTTTATGATTTTGCAGTTGAATGAAATCAAAATCCACAACTGATTTTTATCAATATAGGATGCTTTCATTTTGACTGTCGTTTCACCAAAAGTCACTTATACCATATGTTTGTGCTGTTTTATCTGTTGTTTGTTTGGATTCTGTGGCTTAATTTTTGGGTCTCTAAGGCCAAAAGTTCGCCGCCTTCTCAGCAGCAAACTTCAAAGCTTAAATTAGAGAACATGTAGTACAGGTTGCCTATTTGTAGACGTTATGATGAGTGCAGTCCCTTATACTGGGACCAAACGGCAAGCCCAGAAAGGCAGGGCAGTGCCCCTCCCAGCCCCTGCTCCTGCCCCACTCAGCATCCTTGCTCTAATTCACCCTTCACTTCCTGTTTTCGCTTGCAGCTTCAGGTCTTGCTGATGTACAGACAGCCATCCTGCAGGTGAACTGTGCTCAGTTACAGGTCCCCAGTTACTATCCCCTGATTTGTGTGCCCTTTCCCCCACACCTTACTCTACTTTACTAAACCTAAATACATCAAGACTTTACAAATATTTAAAATCTGGGAAATGTACAGAAGATGGAATTAGAAAAGAGAACTCATTACCCTGAGCTAAGGAAACACTGTGTTAAGCTACCTCATTACTTTGCATTACATTTTCTGAAGGTATGTCTAATTAATGCTTTTGTTATTGGTTGGATTATTTTTTAATAACGCTCAAGGGAATTTTTCCCAGACCACACTGTATTCCTCTGGGGGCTGTGCTGAGTCCAGCCATAGAACAATTAAGGATGTTAAGAGGCTTGGAATTCTTATTGAACAGTGATTGAAAGAATTGAAAGAGTTTTTGTCCAAAACATCTACCTAGTTTTTAACACAAGGAGTAGTTATACCACAATAAAAAATACACATCATCAAAGAAATGACAAAAATACTTAAAAGTTATTCAAAACAATCCTTTTGCTATCTAATATTCTTTAGCTTTAGTGAATGGTTTCAGGAATGTTGTATAGTAAATGACAAATATGCTTGTTTGTCTGTATTGCACCCTCATTAGTCAAAAAGGATGTATTAGTCATACGCTGTTGTCTTTCCTGAATTATTTAGGCTACAGGTGATTACATTTAATTGAAGGTAAATTACCCCTTTTTAAAGCATAGCTGTAAAAATCGCTTTTAGTATCTTTATTTTATTGAATCCTTTATATTTAATGAAGCACCGTGGGACTCAAGAGCAGAAAGATTTGCTAAATCTATTATGTAATTCTGTTTAATCATTTACCAAGCAGTGAAGTACACTTTATTCATTCATTTTCTAACCTAAATAATGACACTGTTTATTAATCCCATTGTGTCCTTTGTGTTTTTGTAAAGAACATCTTAACAGAATATACTTGTTTGTAGTTTCCCCCGTTTTATAAAACTCTTAAACTAGTTATGTCCCTGTTATCTCAGACCATCAATACCACATTATTTTAGTATATTAATGATGTTAACAGTGTCTCCCAACACTTTGTGTCTTGGGTGGCGATTGTGCATCTAATAAATGGAGGTCTGACGGTTATAATTCATTCTTCCAGGGCCAAATGACTGTGAATGGAACCAAAGGTGATGCTAACACACGACCAGGTCATTTGCAGAGGTCCTTCTCCCCTGTTGGTCGCATCCCCTCTCCACCTGTTTTCAGCCAGCAGATGACTGCCCTTCAGAAAACCAGACCAACAGGTGAGTCAGAATATTGCTGGAGAACCATCACGAACTGGTTTGCTTAACCATCAATGGGATTTTTTTTCTGCCAAAGGTTATACTAACATAAATAAACAGTGTGTCTAAACAGTGTGTGTGATTTAACAATATTAGATTGTGAACGATTAAAACACCTCTACGATTTGCCTTTACGGAGAGATTGTTGAGGTCATGCTACGGTGCACATTCAGTCAGTTGCAGTTCCATGGCTCAGACACGCATCTGAAGCTGTTTTGTTAGCCAAATCCATTTCGACACACCAATAAACCCGTAATACATAGCAAACAGTAAGTAGTGCCTTGGATTTCTTCTTCTCTCCTTGTCATGCCCTTGTCCCATCATGTCAATGTGCAATATGCAACACATTTCCTATTTGGTGAAGCAGTGGCATGGTCCGTAAAAAGAATTAGACATCAGTAATACGGAACAAATGCGCAAATAGTTATCTGCAAAATTTGCAAGGATAAGGTTCTCATGCTCGATGGCAACAAAACAAACCTTTTTAACCACCAAAACACCCAAAAGAGTATTCTGAGTATGTCTTCTTGGATTTGTTACCTTATGGCTAAATTTTTTAAACAGAGGAATTAGTTTGGCTGTGCTGTTCAGTAACTTGAAACATGAAACCAACATGAAAAAGAATTGTGATAAGATCGTGGATCACGATCCTGCCTGTAAAAAAATCATTCCATATGTACGTACATCTGTACAATTGTGTCCTATTGTTATTTTCTGACATTAATATATATTTAATTATGATTCTGTGAAAGAATTTTGTTTTAAAAATATTAAAAATTGCTTTTACCTGATGTTCTTTTAAATAACCTCACCTTCGTGCACTTCTTTGATTTCTAGAAATTATTAAATGTTTTGCCTCATCTAAATTTGATGTGGCGTGATTAGGTAAATTCCACTGTATACTTAAGCCCTAGATTTTTACAGTCTAAAACTTTAAGAATGGTATATGTCAGCATAGTTCAGGGGATTGATGAGTATTAATGGGTTAAAAACGGCAACCCTGTCACTGCACTTATGTGTGGAAGTGCTGAGGTCCAAGAAATGTTCTGCTTTCTAAAACAGGTCTGCATCTCTAATTCCACTCCATACCCGAATAAGAGTAACTGTAAATCTCCCTGACAGAGGGCTTTAGCTGAAAAACAGTATGAGTGTGTAAGCTTTCCTTCAGTCTCAGGATGACCACCACAGTCGTTTCTGGGAGACCATGGATTACCCAGATCAACTGAAGAGCTTCTAGGGCCAAGGTGGGGTATTTGTTTGTCTAACAGGGCTAGAGGCCTAGTCTTAATCTGGCCTGATTGAAGAAGCTGGCAGTCACATGACTAAACCTGGACAATGTCTATAACATATACAATATTCTAATTGTTAAAAATCAGGATATCAAAAATATCAAATCATCCAACACCCCTCCACCTTTAAAACACACACACAAACACCTGGTACCTACATCATCAACTGTTTATGTAGTCAGTTTAGGTCAATAGTCATAGTTCTACATTCAGTGTATATTAGGGCTGTCAATTTATAAAAAAAAAAAAAAAACTAATTCATCTCACATTTTGCAGTGAATTAATTGTGATTAATCGTGGTTAATAATTTGGTTTTCTTCTTTAGACTAAAGCTTGTTATAATGCATATTTACCAAATTAATCAGTTGTAATTGTTGTAATTCATATAATTTACCAATTAATCACCAAATTAATGTAGAATAATCACAAAGAACATATGATTCAGATAGAACAATGGAGTGGGTCATAAATGACAACAAAAAAGTGTCTCTTGTAATCACTTTTATGGTTTATATGGTTGCCCCATAATGCACTGTGTGACGATGTTGTTAGTTGCATTGAGTTAATTAATTTTGTTAAATATTTTGATCGAAACAGTTAATACGTTAATTTTGATAGCCCTAATTTATACATAAGTAAATAAATACATTTAGCACAAAGATTCTGCTAGAAGTCTACAAGGAATTTTACGTAAAACTGGCATAACAGATGTTGCACCAATTGTCATAGCCAGCTACTTGTGGTAGAATTTGTAGCTAGGCTATCAAAGCTGTTGGCAATTTCCTTATTTTTAAATGGAATTAACAGTGGTAAACACTTGTCTTATTTGACCATCCATATACAGTAAGTTGACAAGCTCATAATTCCTACAAGAAGTTGCACTTGAATGGCTGATATTCAAGTGCAAGTAGAAGTTGGTGATGATGAACACACTATTACTGCAATGTGCGATGTTTGTGAAATGCTGCACTATGGCAAACATGTTCTTTTGCATTGGAAATGTAGGCTGAACTGAAAGCCACATCATCAATCCTTTTTTAATTTTGCTTTGTACAGTATGTAGTACACCTACTTCCCCAACAAAGGCGATGATTGCCGATCAGTCACTGGCCCCTGGTTACTTGTCTGTTATTGCTGATTACAGATAATAGTTAAACCACACAAGCCTACATGACACTCTCCTTACACTCCATTTCCATCAAAGCTGTAGAAACCCAGAAGTCCAACTCTCCAGACAATGGAAAAGGGAGAGCCACCAGTACGGGTACCATGGATGAAGATGAAGTTCCCACCACGGCCAGAATGGAGAGACCATCGCAACCACCTCCATTAACTGCTACTGTATGCTTTCTATGTCCATTTCTGGCACCTTTCAATTACAGTGCTTGCTATCTAGATTTTTCATCATGTATGATAGTCATAAAAAATTGAACATGACAGATGTGCCTAGAGGCTTGTTTTCTCACATCCGTCAGCACAGATTTAGTTGGTCCTTCTGGTGAGATGTTAGATGTTCATCCAGTTGCAGGATGAATATGGTTTCACATTGTATGGCTACACAAGTGAAATCTAAAGGGCAAAGTATGACTATACAGAAAAGTAAGCCTGAATATTGTGACCAGTACAGTTTACTAGTACAATATAACCTATGATTCAATTTTTGTCAGATTATATTCTACACAAAATGAATCAATATTTTATTTTTTACATTTAAATAGCATTTTCCAAATGTAATATCTGATGAACAACTAATAAGTTTTTCATTGCATATTGTTTAAAACATCTGACATCAAACCCATGCTTATGGAATATTCAAAACAAAACTAACCAGGCAACATGGACAGAGAATGGTTTGCTCTTTTAACTTTTGTGTGTCTTTTATGCAGTCAGACTGCATGATAATAAGTGTGAAGGGGCAAATAATACCCTATGATGACAAAAAAACGTTTGACCTGTACCATAGTTGTAATGTGAATGGTGAGTGTTCCATGAGTAACTATGTAAATAGTCACAGATTAGTCCGAGGTCAAAACTACTGTGGATTCATCTGAGCAATGAACTTCTTATTCATATAGTGAGCTTTTATTTACATTACAAGTAAGCTGCTGAGATCTCTTATTGACCTGCCAACACTCCTCCTCAATTCTCATTCTTCTTAATTTTTGTCAAGCCTAACCAAGGCCAACATCTCAGAAAGTAAAAAAAAAAAGCAGTTATTTTAGGACGAGATGTTTATGGTCTTTAGGTGGCTGTATGTAAAGGTCCTGGTTGGCGTTTTGCTGCAGTGTTAATCTGACATGGCCATGCTGTTCTGTATGTATGAATGAAAGTTCTGTGCATGTTTGTTCAAATTTAAGACTGCAGACAAACCGAAGCACTGGTATAAAACCATGTTCCAGGACAGTCACAAGCCTGAAAGTCAAGGTGAGTCAGGCGCAGTCCACACAAGTACCTATGACAGACGTACCACACATACTGTATTTAGCAATTTACATACTTAACGTTTCATATGGATATTCATATTCTGGTGTATGTATGTGTTTATATATTTCAGTCCTTCTTTTTGAAAGTATCACGTAGGGGGTTGCATTCTGCCTGTTGTGTACAATCATAATAAAGGTATTAAATTCTGTTCTGTAGGAGAGAAAATTAGAAGGATGAATAAGGATAAGTGGTGACAAGAAGGTTCTTTATTTGTTTTGTATATCATAATTCTGGCAAATTGCTAAATGATATATTCTTATAAAAACTGCCGTTTTGTCAGGGAATTGGTCCTGAGACTGGACTCTTCACAAGATGGGAATGTGACACACACATTGGTTTTGCTTCATTCCAGATGTCCCACCCAGCCTGGCTGAGTCCCGTCTCACACCTGAAAGCAAAGCTTGCTGGTCACAGTCTAAAAACAAGTCAGACACCACGGCTGCCTCGGGCGTGCGTTCGCCATCTGTGACACCTCAGAAGAAGGAAGGGGGCGGCGCTCGAGCCACATCTGAACCGTAAGGCATGGCGGGCATTAGCCAGGTCCTAACTGGATACTGGACGGGCATTATCCAGGCACTGGCCGGGTAATGGACGGGCATTGGCTAGGCACCGGCTGGGTATTGGACGGGCATTGACTAGGCACAGGCCAGGTATTGGACGGGCATTGGCTAGGCACAGGCCAGGTATTGGATGGGCATTGGCTAGGCACAGGCCAGGTATTGGAAGGGCATTGGCTAGGCACAGACCAGGTATTGGACGGGCATTGGCTAGGCACAGGCCAGGTACTAGCTGGATATTGGGCAAGGATTGACCTTTTTTACAGCACATCATTCTACAAAAAAGCTCTTTTGATGTTTGTTATATGCATTTTCTGGGTATCTGGGCAACGACATCTAGTTAATACTTTTTAATTCTGTATACTTTTGGGATAATCAGAATATGGCAGAATATTAATGGACTTACTTTTGACTTTGAACTTAATCTTATTTTTCTATGTCCTTCTTTTGAAATTAGTAAGAAATGGAGACCTCCGGACAAGAAGGTGGACACTTGGAAATATACTGCTGAACCTAGTAGTGTGAACCAGAGAGAACCAGAGAAGTCCTCACCTTTAGAGCAGGAGGAACCTGTGAGTGTGCTTCTCAGAGACTGACATTCTGCAATTAAAACTCGTCAGTCAGTTCTCTAGCCAGATCCTTTACAAAAGATATTAAAATCAATATCCTTAATTGCATTTCCTGAAACGAACTTCAGAGCTTCTGGCTCGGTGGACGGCACTGTTAGTTCACACCCCCAGGGTTGGGAGGGGGGGAGAATCTGAACTGCACTGCATGTTTGCAGGAGTTTGCATGGGTTTCCAGTGACTGCTCTTTTCTCCCCTGATTTAAAAGACAGCCAGTGTCCAACACCAAAAAACTTTGATTTTACATTTTACATTTTACAAGCATCTCACACTCCTGTCAAACCACCCTGATACACAGATCTCCGCTCTGCATCTTCTGACGTCCATTCTGAAGTCCAAAAAGTTTGACTGCCTTCTGCATGGTCTTTTGGTAAAACTTTACTTGAAGGAGCACATGTAACTAAGTACCTCAGTTACTACTCAAGTACAAATCATGATTAGATATAGGAACTGCATGAAATACATGAACCATTATGATTAATGATGAATGAACATGGGATCAGTATGTAACTAACATGTATACTTACGTGTTAGTTACATTAAGTAAGAATGTACTACTACATAATTTGTGCCCCTTAAGTAAAGTGGTACCCATCTTTCTCCCCCTCTGCTCCCCCATTTCACCTCTCTAGGCACACGACACACGTACAGATGACACAGATCTGGAAGACGAACCCTGGGTTAAATTCTTTTCAGAACTGGAATTTGGACGCCCGGTAAGTAAAGCAAGTGCACCCAGCTGCAGCCTGGAGAATGTGGTGAGGTATACATGGGGCAGGACTATGTAGCCCCGCCCACAAGCGTATTCATTGGCTCAGCTAACTTTCAGTGCTAATAATCTGCTAATAATCTTGGCTCAGTTTGCCAGAGAACATGAACAACCAGAGAGAGAAAGAAAGCCCTGAGCTCCAATGCATGCTGTTGTTTTGAGTGGTATTATGATGGACCGTTTGGTTTGTTCATTCTTTTTAAGTTCGGGGTTCTGCTCTAAAGAGGAAAAGCCTGCTTGGCAGATGCATTAAACAAAAAAATGAATAAAATTATGTATCCAACAGTATATATAATTAGAACTTGAATTTCTTAAAAGTCGAACCAACCAGATTCAGAAAAATTTACCTAGAGCTCGAACTGAATCTCAGAAGTCAAACCGTAAACGCCAACCTAAGATAACTTGTAAGCGCGGGGAAACTCGGCACGTCTCTCAGCAGAAACATAGGGTAACACTTCAGTCTTTCGCATTCGCTGTGATAGCATCGTGCATGTTTACACTAACTGAATACATATATTTAGACAGTAAAATACATTTAGACAATGATAGACAGTAACAGTAATTATTATTATATAATAAAATACATTTAAAAATAAAGATTTGTTATTAATTATTTTAATATTTATAATAAACCATTAATACATTTAATTATAATAATATTGTTGTGCCGAGCGGGAACGGAACGGAGACAAAGGCGCAGACGTCAGGGTATCGGGGAATACGGGGTTTAATTACAGGTAAGGCAGGCAAAACGCAGACGGACAATACATTGACCGGACTGGGGAAACAAACTGAAACGCGGATTAAATGCAGAGGGCTAATGACAACAACCAGAAACAGCTGATCACACGGGGATTCCACATGGGGTTAACGAGGGGGCGTGGCACACGGAAGAACCGGACGATCGGGGCAGGACACATTGGTTTTTTTTTTTTTTTACTTTACACATTGTTTGGATACATTTATTTTCTTACTTTACTTTTGACTGTTTTGATAAATGTGCTTAGATGTGTTTAGTACAGTATATGCTCTTCTTGTTTTATCCAGTTCATTTTGTGTTTTAATGCTAAAAAAAAAACATATTTAGGTGTAATTTTTTGGGGACGGGAACCAATTAATTGATTTTCCATTATTCCTTATGGGGAAAATTCGATCAGAACTCGAACTTTTTAGGATTCAATCCGGAGTTTTGAATGGATTAAATTCGAGTTCTGAGGTACTTTTTAGGATTCAATCCGGAGTTTTGAATGGATTAAATTCGAGTTCTGAGGTACCACTGTATCCGTGCGCGCCGCCATCTTGAGGTCAATGATGTTGAAATGTTAAAATTATGTTAAATAAGGACTTACAAACAATTCAAATCACGAACGGCCGTTTTGAACGTATCTCGTTCGTAAGTAGAGGAGCGTCTGTACTGAGATCTTATAAACATAATTCACATTAATAATACATTAGTGGGACATTAACATTTTGAAAAGGGCATAATTTTCCGCAATGAAAAATGCTGTATTACTGGATATTTACATAAACTAAGTTTAAGGAAGTTCCATTCATAATCTAACCACTAATTTCTTTTTCAGCATTTTGGTGCTTTGTTTCCGGGTGAGCATGTGCCTGTGTTTGGGTCTGCCCTCCATATCGCTAACCATTTAACTCTCTCCACATGTCCCTACCCATGATGCCACTGACTTTCCCCTCCACTGCAACAACGTCTCCTTTTGTTTTGCTGTGTCTGAACAAAGCCTCCTAAAAAACATTTGGATTACAGCTCAGAAAATCCTCCCCAGGGCCTCTCAGAGGTAACTGACGGCACCCCAGGCCCCCACAACTGTCAGTCATTGCCTTTGCAGGTACCACAGTAAAGCCAGAAGAAATCAGAGAATTCTGCAGAATTCTGGATTTCCAGGAGGCCAATGAATTATCAGTAATAAAACTCTCAAGTTTACCAGTAGTAGGTTACTATTTATGATGTGAGTGATGAGTTTTAAAAGAATTAAATGTATTTTCTGGAGAGTATAACCCAAAGGCCTTGAAAAACAAAACATCACGTTCTTTTTTTACTAGAAAAAAATGCTTTGATTTGGGGAGGGAAGACTCACTCAGATTTTCATTTGCCGTATTCTAAGTCAGATTGAGAATGCCAGGATGATCTTGACTAAGTGATATAAGATTGGATAAACATTTCTGATAATAACATTTTATGTCATCATGGCAGTAGAGTAGCCAGTTTAGCGAAACTAAAAGGAACAGGCAACAAATATGTTGCAAGAAATGCTGATTGACCACATTTAACAGGCCATTTACACACTTTATGATTAGCCTGCTTTGAAACATACCGTTAGCCACTCTTCCCAGGATAATGCCAGAAATGGTTATTTTTTAAGGACAATGCCAAGGTTCTGCCTGTAATTGTTGGCCATGTGCATAGTGGAAGAATTTGGTGCTTGTAGAATGTCAGAAAAAAACTGTGAGTTACAAATTTTTCCTCATAGACAGCCCTGAGTATTTTCACATTTCCTGTTTCCTTCAGAATTCCCGCTATCAATCCCCAGTAAACAGGATTCCAGACAGGCCATCCAGGTAAACCCACCAACCACACATCCATACCGAGTCACAGAAAGCAGAATAATCTGTATAATTCTGACTTTTGTTCTTAGATATGCGTCAGTACTTCAGAACATTTTTTATATCCATCATCACACAAACAACTAAAAGCTCTAAACTGTGATGGTTTTTCTTGACTGCTGGATTCTTGCTGAAGATGTAGCTGCCCAGGCTGGGGTCATTCGTTTTCTTCACATTTAGTCAGAGATCCATCTTTTCATTAGCATCTTCAGATCTTCATTCTCCACTTGCCATTATGTTGAAGGTTGTTGATGTTCTTCCAGCAGTCTTGATTCCAAATTGTCCACACTGTCAGAAGACTTATTGTAATTATAAAAGCACGTGTTGGTACTCGATTTTTGATTTCCCGTCACGCTTCAGCAATGCTGTGCCTTGTTCCTCAGCCTTTCCTGTATCCAGCTTGTGAGTCAGGCAATTATCTGTTATGTTAGGCCTCAAATCTATATAATCTGTCTGGAATGTGATATGAGAAACATTGTGTGATAGTTTATATGCTCCGTCAATTTACTGTGATATTCTTATAAAAATGTATCTCTTCCACATTGTTAGCCATTTAAAATTTGTTGGTTTTACTGGTCAACACATTTTTCTTTTGTGATACCATATATCACCATGGTCCTCCGTTTTGGCAGTGATCCCGGACCTAATCTAACATCTTCCATTGCTGAAAAGTTGTTCTATAGATGTAACCATATTAACTATATCTTGATTGCTGATGTCTTTGATGTAAAGGTCTTTCCACTTCTGTTAATGACATCTCCATTTCATCATGAAGTTCTCTCCAAGCCTACACTGCAAGCTCAGCTGGTCACTTCTGGCAACGGCGAAATTCAGAGCCTATCATCGGTCCGCAGCGGTTGCTGGATGAGCAGAGTTCTTGGAGGCCCACGGATCCTCTTGAAAACGGCAGCGTGCTGAGGAAGCCATCAGCTGAGCCCTTGACCCCCTCGCTGTCCAGAATGAAGGGTAGGAAACTCCTAGATATCTCATTTACTATAGAGAAGAAAGACATTCAAATGTGCAGCGTATAACAAACAAAATAAATATATATAAATATAAACAAAAAACACTATAACCAGAGACATTATTTCATATATTAAGTTTTTTTAATTCCCTTTCATGTTCCAAAGTACATCATATTGTCACTTAGTAAAGCTTCCATGCATTTGGGTACATAATAACGAACATGGCTCATGACAAAAAGCCAATGTACCATACCAATGTACTGCTCACTGAACAGCATGTGGATGGACTCTTCTTATGAGAACTCAAACTCACTGTGGACTTTTCTGTTCCTTATAGAGAAGGACACCTTCAGGACACCTACAGTGGGACAGAGCAGGGGGCGAACGGCTGAAAAAGATGTAAACATTTATAATAATAATATCCATCCATCCATCCATCCATCTTCCAATCACTTATTCAGTACGGAATTGTGGAGTAATAATAATAATAATAATCAATAATACATTTACAGGCTCATCTTATGGCGAGTTTTCCTGGGTTACATTAGCAGTTAATAGCTAGTTTTTTTTTATCACTTAATGTCATTGAGATAGGTGTTAAATTTCTTAATGCTCCTTCTTCTTCTTCAGCAGAGAAAGCCTGCCAGAGCACTGTATGACTTCAAAGCACAAACAGCTAAGTGAGTGAAGTGCAATATCATTAACTGGATGTCTCAGAATAAATACACCAGAATATTAGGTGTGCTTGTTGCTCTGCCATTTTGTTTCACCGGACTTAGCTAACCATAACCTTGCTTGTTTTCCAGGGAGCTGGCGTTTAAGAAGGGGGACGTTCTGTACATCAGCAGAAAAATTGACAGCAACTGGTACGAGGGAGAGCACCATGGACAGCTGGGAATCTTCCCTGTATCCTATGTGGAGGTACATGCTGTGTGTGGCTGTCACTCCAGACGAGTCTCTCTTCCTTTGCCCCCCCCCAAGCCATTCTCTTTTTTCCCCCCCAGATAGTCCTGGTGAGAGAGAAAAATCAGTCTGCTAGGGCCCCCAGTCTAGCTGAAGTACCAGACCTGGGGGAGGCGGTGGCTCGCTATAACTTCACTGCTGAGACCAATGTGGAGCTGCCATTGAGAAAGGCAAGATGTCTTCAAGAGTTACACACCGGAAAGGCCACTGACTGAAGATCACAGAGCCATTAGACCCCGACTGAGCAAACACATGGCCCCTGTGCATTTTACGCTACACATTTTTACACACCAACGGGCGAAAAAGGCAGACACCTTAGG